AGACGTAAACTCTTCTCTCTCGAATCAGATTAGATAAGTTGAACGCATAAATGTTTACTGGAGTATGATGTTCGAATGGTTTATTTTATTATTCTTTTATTTTTAGCCGATGAAAGATACTCCTCAGATTTTAAACATAAGGGCACATTACGAGATACGTTTTTCACTAGCGTCGTTAACTATAACCATATATCTGCGCCTTTTGAGTTTTGAACTATGAACATCAATCTTCAAATCAATTTAGATGGCAACAGAGAAGAATAATTTTTCTTTCCAATATATCATCGGTATTGTAACTTTCTTCGAAACAGAATTACTGATTTTTTTAAATGAGATTTTATGGAACCACTAAAACTAAAATTCGCAGTATGAAACATGCGCTAATTATGTGTCAATCAAATGTAATAGTTCGATCAAAGGAAGTTATATACTACAGTCGGCCCCTGATTTATTTAACGAACTTCTTTTCAACGAATTTTGCTATTTAACGAACTTTTCTCTTTCCCCGATTAAAATGAAGGCAAAATCCCTTTGATTTAACGACTAAAAAACCCGAATTAACGAATTATTTCAGCAGCTGGAAAAAATATTATTATTAGCTTGTATTCGAAAAATATTGGATCTTTTTTTTTTCGCGAATGACATATCCTTGTTGTCCTTTCTGTTCCAAATTCCTTGGGAGAAAACTTTCAAATTTCAACGGGAAAGGGTGAAGACTTATTAGACTTTATAGTTGCAGACAAGTCGTGAGTGTAACCTATAATGTGAGTCTTGGGGAGGACAGAAAACCCCTTCCTTATCTCATTCCACTTCGCAATGCAGGGTATATTTTAAGATTTTAATGATTATAATACATTTGTTGACGGATTTCCTATTTGTGCAACTGAAGTTGAAGGAATTGATGATTTGTCGGAGCAGAAATACATGCAGAAACAGAAGGCAGAAATACATAATGAAACTTCTATCAAAACTGTCACGTTTTCTAATGTTTTACATTGCTTGGAAACTGTGAAAACATACCTCTCTTTTGTACCCCAAAATGTAACTCATGTATTATTTTCTTCTCTGTATAGAGTTGAAAAAGAAATCTTTCGAGTCAACTGATGTGTGAATTATTTTCTTCTCTGCATAGAGTTGAAAAAGAACTCTTTCGAGTCAAGTATCAAAAATATTTTTAAACGTCCATCAGTTAGTATTTTAAAATTTCCAATTATAACCTGGTGCGTAATAATTCATCGACAGTATTTTTAGCCGTTGAATAAAAAAAAAAAACGTATTATGTCTAACTAGCGATATTTTTTGGGTGCAATTGCCTATTATAGAATTTCCGAAAGGTAAGTGCAAAAAATTTGTATTTTATTTGGACCTCGATTTAACGAACAAAATGTTCGTTCCCGATGAATTCGTTAAATCGGGGTCCGATAGCATTATATCAAAGACTTTTATATTTTGATCTATGAATATCAATCCTCAAATCAATTCAGATGGCAACAAAGAATTTTTTTTAAACATATCATCGATAATTTAATTTTCTTCGTAATAGAATCACTCATTTTTTTAAATTCAAATTCCTCACTATGAAAGACGAACTAATAAGGTTTTAATTTTTTTTAACACTGATTGCCTTATCAAAAATTAATTTTAATTTTTTCAGCAACTCCTCAAAGCAAAATTGCTTGCGCAATTCAGAGACAATTGATCTTGGAAAGGAAATTCAAAGCAAAAATTTTGTAATCTAATGAACGTCTTTGAAAGATACTTAATAATTTTGCAATCTTACAGAAATGTTTATGAATTTCAGGAAACCAATATGTGAAATCTATTACAACTACTTAAAAATTCCAGGTAATAAAAGTAGAATAAATAAATGCCAATTAATTTAAATTAACAAAACGAAAGGTATCTTCTTAAAAATATATCTTTAATACAGACGTACTCACTTCATATAAAGATTGGTGAAGTCATCAACAAAATTTGCTAAAAATCTTACACAATTAACTATCAGATCAACAGTTAATTAACTGATAAAAAAAATTAACCTCACATTCTAACAGTCCTCACGTCACAAGTTTTTAACGAATGAAAACTACGCATGAAATATTCAAATGCGAATTTCGTAAAAAATTACTATGTTAAATTTTTAACTATAAAAAAACCAATATATTTAAATTCCGCTAAGCAATGTAATACCATTACCGTTTAACTATTTAAAACGTTAAAATTATCATACCAGAGCCAATATGTTATTGGTAGAATCCGAGCAAGGGCGTATACAGTTGAAGACAAAAATTTACAATTCGGCGGCTTTGAGGGGAGATGCAGTTAACTCTCCACAATAGTCGAGACAACACCAGCAGCTGTTCAAAACGATCTGTTCTAAAAATGTTATCTGAATCCAAACGGCTGTATTCCAATTAGAAATGCCAATGTTTCACTTTAAGTCAACAGCGATTTAGCTTTTTATTGCACATTAAACGTAATAAAATGTCAATATATTGCTCTCCCAGAGCTGCAGAAAGCTTCTAGGGATTCATGGGAATTGTAGAAAACATCTGCTCAAGTATAAATAGAGACACTAACTTGGACACTTTAAGTTATTATGGTAGAATGATAAAAATAGGGGAGGAAGGAGACATGAATGAAAGGAGACGATAGAACAAAGAACACATTTGCGAAAAAAAATTGGAACGTTACTTCCGATACAGAATAAATATCCTTTAAAAGGTGAACGTCATAATTTAAGTAATTTGTAATTACAAATGTATTGAAATACATAATATCTAACAGGGCTGTTGTAAGTTATAGTAAAATAATAATTAAAATAAGAATCAAAAAACAAGTATGGAGATCAATGATGGAACTAAGAGCGCATACTTGTGTAAATTATCATTTCTTAGAAAATACCTAAATAAGAGTAATTTTTGAATATTGATATTATAGAGATGTTGAAAAAGCTTTCAAATATTATTTTAAAAATTAGAATCAGTTAAATAATAGTTTCTAAGTTAATTAACCCAACTTTGTTTGGATTGTCTTTGATGAAGATGCCGCCCTATCAGTCCTATAAACATATATGAAAAATATTAATAACAAAAGGGAGAACCTTTTGAAAAAAGGGGGCGGGGGGGAAGAAGATAACGTTTCAAAAATGTTTTATTTTTTGGTTAAGTACCCAAATTATAAATTTTATTCTGAAATGTGAAATTTTATCTTCAATTAACGACGTACAAGAGTTAAAAGTTTCAAAACGTACTTACACCCAGAGAATATAAAAATTCTTTGTAAAGTTATTTGATAAGTAAAACGTAATTTTTATTAAACACACTGATAAAAACTAAATAAATCCTTGATTTTTGTTGCATTAAGCATAAAACTAAAAATAAATAAAGCTATTCAAACTTTATAATTATAGCAACGTATAGTGATACTTTCAAGTGTCATAAAAGCTTCAAATTAGCATTTTTAAAAAGGACATTTTTTAACAGTTAAGTTATTCAATATAATGAATAGAAAAGTCATTTAAAATTTTAAAAACAAATGAATGTTTTTATACTCAGCTTTTAGCTCATATGAGAATAACTTACATGATTTTGTGTACAGTAAAGAGACCTCGATAGAGATTTAGAAATTAATCACAACCAGTCAATAAAAAGTTAAGAAAAATAGAAAATGACTTGAAATATTTCTTGATGAGTTATACTCTGAACAAAGGAAAATCAAAAGTGAAATATTAGCTCAAATCAAAAGAAACACCAATCTATGTCAAGTTACAGAATTGGAAGGGGAGGTAAAATACACACAGAAAAAAAAATTCAACTAAAATTCAGAGAAAAAAATCATTTGAAAAAGAAAGCTATAAAAATAAACTATAATTTAAGCTCATTGAGCAATCTTTTCCAAAATTGCTTAATAGCACCTTTATAATATTTAATCTTCAAGTAAAATTAATGTCCTATTTGCATAACACTGTTCTTTAACTGTTAAAATCTTAACAGTAAAATTAAGATCTATAACATATACATACGCATTAGTTTGAGTCTGTAAATTGAGTGCATTTGCATAATTTCTATTTATCTTTTATTCCCAGTGGTTTCGCGACAAAAGTGTAAATGTTACCTGTTTAGCGAAGACAGTAATATCTTCATTGAAAGATTCTGATGAGCATACGTCACCCCCTGCGATTCCTGGCTCCCTGGGGGTGCATGTGGCCAATTCACACTTTTCGAAGATCAATGCTAGCAAAGGAAACAGAGGATGCCTATGAAAAAGAAAAAGGTTCAAAATATCAGGAAGATTCGCGCAGCAGGCATTACTTAAGTAAAACTGAATTATTCATAGAGATATTTAGACTGATGAGTTTAATTGCTTATATAATTCAAGAACTGAATCACTATACAAATTCATACAGGGATCACACAATTTTCGCTTTTATTTGCTTAAAAGCGCCGAATTTAAAAATTTCCTACGTTGTTTCCAATTGTTTTAAATATGGGTATTTAATATTAATGAATTGGGAATGTTGAAACATACAAGTATAATTTTAACATACTCGAGTTGAGAACAAAAATATTTGAATACTAGCAAGAAATTTATGTTCTTAGTCTTAAGTCTTAGTTCCTAAGGCTATCAGTGTGTGAAGCTCGCTTATTTCTTACTAATACTATTTTGTTATATTGCTATTTATTGCGTGGCTTTTTTTTGAATAAGGGTTATTTAGTATATATGAACGTATGAACATCTTTTTCAATTCCTTCTATTATAGTTCACTCTCTTCCTATATATATATATATCTTGTTCAAATTTTCAATCGTTAATAAGATACTTTTTATTCATCCACTCAAGTTCAAGTACATTTTTTAAGCTTGTAGTAGATGACATTTGATGTTAATACAGTTTTTTCAAATATTAATTCATTAATTAAATTAAAAAAATGAATAAATATTAACAAACAAAAATAATAGTCTAACAACATATATAGAAAGGAAAATCGTTTGTTGTGAACCTGTAGCGCAGTGGATAGCGCGTTGGACATCTAATCTAAAGAACGTGGGTTCGAATCACACCTGAGATGGTCTAGTTTCTGATAGTGTGCTTTCTTTTTTTACTATACTATTTTGTTAGAATTAATTTTAATGAATAAATAAATAGTAACAAAAAAAACATAAAATAACTCAACACCCTATGTAGAAAAGGAAATGGAAAATTGCAAGGAAAATCGCTTTCTATTTTGTCACCTAATAGTGAGATTCTGCATTTTCATATACATATTTATATTAATTTTAACTATTTAATACAAGCAACTAAAATAAAATTTTTCCTTGTTGACCTAAGTAGGAATTGACTTAATTTTTTATATTACTTGTTTGTGTGTGTGTGTGTGTGTTTTATAAACAATGAAATACTTAAATTTAAGATGATTAAGGCTTTTATGTTATATATTATGAGAAATATTAGATTTTTTACTTCAAGTTTTTCTCGAAAGCGATAAATAAGTCTGCGTAAAATAAATTCGTGAAATGTTTGAATTAACTGTAATGTTTTTAATGTTGAGGAATGCTTACCAAAAGGATAGGAAAAATCAACGTAAAGCATCATACACGGGACGTATACATTTATATGGAACATATAATAATTTTACTTTGCTTTATGATAAAAAAGATATACGTAACATTTTTACTACTGTTTCCAACCCAAAATGAGTAATTATTTAGAATAAATATACATTGATTGACCATGTTATTGCACTGGTCATTCACGATGACCGTGTATAATGAATGAACTGACATTTATCATTAAGTTCGCGTGGATGACCATGTGAATAAAGAATGCCTTATCCATAAATGATTTCCCAATGCATACAATCAATGTTGGTCCTTTGAGAATTAATAAATTACTCATTGGCATACATATATCGGGGACATACTACTTATATCAATAATTCTTTTTCAGTTAGCAATTAAATGGTCCTTTCAGGATATTTGATTCAGAAGAGTGTATATATACAGTGGGCCACAAAAGTGTTCGTACACTAGCAATTTCTTAAAATAAATTTAATGTTTTCGACCATAAAAATTAATGTATTGTAATTGTAATTTTTTTATGATATCTGCAACTTGTTTCTAATGGAATGACATGATTAATTTTTTTAAAAATAGTACAACTATTTTTTTAAAAAATTGAATTAAATGACTTAAAAATAATAATTGTGAAGAAAAATATTTTTGATATCTGTTAAAAAACAAGAATTTTATGTACGTGAATTTGTTTATATTGTTTTTTAATTAACCCCTGGTTCAAATTTCTGTGTTACATGTTAATATGTTAATGAAAACCAAACGATTATTTCAAACAAATATTTTTTTTCCGTTCAAACGATGATAAATCGAATCAAAACATCTTTCACTGGAAATTTTTAAAGAGAAATTTATTCTGTTCTAAAATCCTCAAGTAAAATAAACCTAGAAATAAAAATAATCATCCAAAACTAGATAATTCTTAAAAATATATACGGGGAGGGGGAGATGTAAGAAACTGAAAACATTTTAAAAATAGATTCGATTCTCTCCATCAAAAGATTTTTAAAACATTTTAAACGTCAGTTATTCTTAGATATTAAAGAATTATCGTTTTTGATCACGGATTTATAAAGATCAGTATCCAGTATTCAGCATTGAGAGAATAGATAACACCTTCGTCTTTAATCTCAATTGCTACATTGCTCTGACGCGTTCACAGGAATTCCTGAAAGTAGTGATCTTTGTAAAATAAAAATAAAAATGATACATCGTAATCTCATAGTAGTGGTATTAGGAATGACGCACAGGAGCAGAAAACGCTAACCCAAGCAACAAGAAAAGCTGGTTTATCTTCAGGAGCGAAGCGATAAAGACCATCTGCTTTGAAATCCAGGCTTTGGCCAGCCTCCAAGATTGAAAAAGTTTAAAAGAAAAAAAATAATAATAATTGCCGATGAATTTCATTGGTTACATTCCGTGGAATCTTGGTTCTCTTATCTTTTGCTTTCAGAAGAGAAATACAAATAAAAACCGCTTTAATTCCAGTCCAGAATAATATTTTAATGCCTTATTATTATTAAAATCTTCTTGACTGATGAATTACTACTTGATACATAAACCACTAACATTTGAATTCACCAACATATGAATTTTTATTATAATTCAACAAATGCTGTAATCAAGATTAGTCGAAAAGGTAATCAACAGAAAATGGAGCATAATTAAGTACTTTCTAGTTATTGAATGAAAACATTTTGTTTAAAATAGGATATTAGATAGAGATTGATTAAAATAAGTTGTTAATGAGATTCATTAATTTAGTCAAAGAAAAATTGGATATATTTTTGAAAACGAAAATTAATAAATCAGATTTTATTTGAATGAAAAACATTAGTTTTTAACGTTAAAAAATTAACTGTGATTTAATATATTCTATCCAAAAAGAAAATGTGTTTCTGTTTTTAAAAAACTTATCTCAAACCGGCGAAATAAGTATTGTTATTTTTAATCTAGAATGATTTTATCTCATTAATTAACTAAAATTTAACTGAATAAACAAAATAAATATTATTTATCTTATTCTAAATTTATTTTATCTGATTAAATAATTAAATTTAAAATAAAATAACTTTTTAAAAATCATTCTGATTTATTTGAATATATGTTGGTTTTTCAATGAAAATTGTCTGTTAAGTGTTTGCCTTATTAATTCAAACGACTATTTATAAAATAAACTTCACAAAAACTTAAGTGCTGCTTCTTTATCTTCATCTTGGTTTTTCCATTTTGTTTGAATAGCAAAATAATTAAAAGAATGATTTGTATAACGATGGTCTGATGTAATTACAGGTTTTCAGAAATGATATTTTTATAAAAAAATCTTCAGGCTTAGATAATTAAAAATTCATAAGCATTTTAACGGTCAGAAGTATTTGTAACACTGCGAATAACTTCTATATACGTAATGAAAATAAAAAACAAAAAATTAAAGCAATTTTTTTATTTATATATTCATATTTCAAACTTAATAAAAATACGAAAAATGAGTTAATAGCTTTCTGTCATTATTTTAACATCATTTTTCCAACAAAATTGAATAATCTAATTATAAATCGAAGTAAAATTATTATTCGCATTTAAAAACTTTAAAATAAATTAGTTTAAAAATTAACTATTAACAAATTCAGTGTTATTTGATTCAGTTTTTGAAAGGAAAAAGATTAATATTTTGTATAATTTTTTATTTAACAACAATATATCTTGCGAAATCATGAGGTTGATGTAAAAATATACATGATTTAATTTCCTCCAATATAAGTTTTAAACATTCTATTATTTAATAAAGCTAAGCATTTTTAAACCAAATTAAATATACAAATAAAAGTTTGATACATTATTTTTCACGTTTAATAAAATTAGCATTTTCAAGAAAAAAATATTTTGAATTTTCTTTCATTATCTTTAAAAAATTTATTAATTTTTTTAGAATCAACTAACTACCCATCTTGCAATACAAAAACCTTTCTTTTTATCATTATTAGTATTAAATTGATTAAGTTTGTTCTTCACTTCAGATCATCAGCATTTCCCTATCAATTTCTTTGTTGTAAACACCATTTTGGAATAAAGTAATGGTTTGTTTTTAAAGCCTGTGTGAGAAATCTGTTGTTCTTCTTACAATAATAAAAATCCATAAATAATGAATAAATTAATTTGAATAATACGTATAAATTTATTTCTCATTTTAAAATTCTAAAAGGAGGCAGTCAAAATATTTTTATTAAGCACAAATAAATAAAAAAAAATATTGTTACACTTTATATATATTTGAAAATTCCATTTTTTATAAATTTAATGGTTTCCTATTTCAAACTGTACGGAAAAATTTTAAAAAATAGAAATTAAATACTTTGAATTGTGAGATCTTAGACCAGTAACAGACATACAGCATAAAATTTTCAATAAAATGACACAAATTCGTAGGGGAAAAAAAACATCAGAGGAAAATTAATTTTATTTTCTAACTCGAACTTTCAAAAAGCATCAAATGTATATTTTGAGAACTAATTAAAAATTATTAACTATTAATACTATTATCTATTAATATTATTATATTATTATTTAACTATTATCAACTTTAAAAGATCACGTATATAAAAAAGTATAATTTTACTGAGAAGTTTTAAAACAAACACTGTAACAATTAGTGCTTAAATACTTAGAGAATAGAAATCGTTTTATAACAGCTTCTTGACAGAGAAAGAACGTAAAAACACAAAGAATCGATTAACAACGAATTATTGTCCAATATGGAAAAGAAAAAAAAGGGGGTGATCAAATCAAAATTCTGCATCAAGATAAAGCTCAAAATAAATCTCCTTATTACATGACAAAGAATAGAATGAAATATTTCTCATGCATGAAAGCTACATGTTATGAATATCACATATTTAAAGTATTGTATTTTGTATGTAAGGAAAAACATTATAGAATGTAGTATTTCACTAAAGTTGTGACACGTTTCTCAAGACAATATTTAGAAATTCAGGGTCTTTATAAATGGAAATACACCAGCAACGTCACTAGTGACTGTCACACCGAGAAATCTCTTATCAATGACCACCCATTTGCAGTATTGAATATATATATATATATATTGCTTACTTTCAACACTTAGAAAATCTAAGAGTTCATTCCATGTTCCCGTATAAGTAATATACATATATTATATTTTATGTCCTACTATCTTGACTAGTTATACTTAGGTTTTATAGCTGTATATATATATATATATATATATATATATATATATATATATATATATATATATTGAAATCGGTTTTCCCTATAAATAATCAATTTAGAAATACATTTTCCACTCCATGTTTTTAAATTTTAAATTATATTTAGGCAAATAAATAGTATGGATTTTTGGGTTAAATTTTTTAATACTTGTGTAAAATCAATTTCTTTAAAAAATGAAACAAAGAGATCTACACATAAATACATAATCAACAAGTTTTTTCTTTGAATACAACTTCTACAAAAAAAAACT